GATTCCATGAGGGTGGGGAGTTAAGGCACCTGTTTCTCTGTGCTAATGACTATGTGGGTTGCATTGCTTCTGTGTGGTGTGTGCGCTTCCATATCTGCAATCTGATGAGTCCTTCTGTTTGGCCTTTTGACAGGACAGTGTCCCAATGGGCTCTCCTGCCTTCCTTCTCTCTCTCTTTGTAAGTATTGAAAGGCTGCAGTAGGTAATGTGGGGGGTACTCCTGGCAGTGTGCTCTGCTCCTTGTCTGTGGGATACTGGGACATAGGGCTACCAGTAGCTCTGTAGTGATGTGTTGTAAGTTGATGGCTGTGCAGCTAGGGGTGTCAAAGAAGAAACATCTTCATCCCATGCTTAGGATGAGTGGGAGGGATTGTAGTTCTTTCCGTGTAGGTTCTTGGGGCTCTTGCTCTGCTTTCTTTCCCTCTGACTCCTGTCCTGCTTTCTCTCAATGTAAGTGGGAAGGCAGGTCAAATACAGCACTGCAGTTTTAACATCTGTTCATGCTCGTATAGCAACCATCTCCTCTCTAAAACAGCGTTCTAGTTTTTGTTTCATTTGTGGACCAGAAAGCAGCCAGGTTCCCCTGCAGAAAAGAACTGTTTTGTATTGGAGGGCTGTCAGTGCTGGGAAAAGTTGTTTCCTTCCTGGGAGCCCAAGCTCTTGAGCTAGAAACAAACGTTTGAGGGTTTATTTTCTCATATGCATTTAAAGACAGAGAAGTGTTTCAAGAGAGGCAGCATATCAGCACGAGGGAGAGGGCGTCCAGTGCAAAGAAGCCCTCCAGTTGCCTTGTGCTCAAGGAGAGCAGCTGTGCGGAGAAGCTAGGGAACTAGTGCCAGGGCCACTCAGCTGGAGGAGCTCTTCCTGTAGGGACCAGCAGTTGATCAGGTACGTTAGCCAGCAGTTCCTTCTTCTCCACCCCACTCCAGATCCACTCAAATGTTTCACTTTGTTTAGTGCAGCTCTTTTAATTGGTTCCAAAAGAGTTGTACAGATGGGAAGCCAGCTGCCCACCCTCTGGCTACCTTTGCTCCCTGTAGACAGATGTGGTTCTGGGCCCCCACTGGGGCCTTTTTGTTAGACCCACTCCAGTAATGTTGGAAGGGCAGGTGTCCCCAGCCCATCTTGCAGCAGATTGCAATGCGTTCCTCACTGCTTACTGGAAGGCAGGAAAGAGCTGTAATCCATCTCCTTGAGCACAGAAGGAAGCTTGTTCTTTTCATTCCACCCTTGCTAACGCTGGTTCTTTCCCATCTGTTTACATGTTGGTTAGGATGGAGGGACCAGAGGGCGTCGCTGTGCCATTGAGGCAGACATGAAAATGAAGAAATGAGTCTGCAACGGGAAGGCAAGATCCAGTATTTGGCATCCAGAGCTGAAAAGTGAGCAAGATGCCTTCAGTTCCCAGCCAGGGAGGGAACAAGCCTGCTTGCACCTTCAGCCCCCTGGATTGTCACATGTGGCAAGCAGTGCCCTCTCTGAATGTGTGAACCTGAAGAGACTTCCCCAGGGAGGAAGACCAGCCCTACTGCCTGTTCTAGGGCAGGAGTCTTGGGCCATCAGTGTCCTGTGTTAGCTAGCAGCCAGTGGCTAGCATGTACTGTAATGTGAAGTGTACAGATTTTTAGCCATGAAGTGTAAATGTGTATAATAAAGTGCAGGAGTGAATCTGGGGAGGGGTGTGTAATTTACTGATTGGCGTTACAGTGGTCTGCTCACTTAAAGACGTGCATTGTTCTTATGCTCAGACACTTGGGTGCTTTCCAGTTTTTTTGCATGCAACAAGCTATTGAAATGCAGCAGCCTCTGTATTAGAGACCAGCAGCCAGTCTCCAGATCGTTATGTAGTACTTGGCTGGGGATGGTACAAAAATGTGGCTGCGAGCATGGTCCTATGTGGCTATGAGAGCCTGCTTCTATGAAAAGTGCAAGGAGCTTTGATATGGAAGAGACTGACAGGACTGGCATTTACAATCTCATCTGAGAGATTCGCATGCTAACTGTACAGGCCTCTTCCATGGGAACCTGGAAAGAGATATGTGAGCCATCTTGAGATGTCAGTCGGTGACTTCAGACTTGGTATTTCAAGCCTTCCTTTGCAGCTCTTTCCTTCAACTGAGTACATCGCTACCCTCTACTAGCAGGAGTTCCTGAGTGTTGAATTTTCCATTCCTGTATATGCAGGCTTAACTGAGACACAGTACTCTCATTGCCACAGTTCTCAAGGCCCCTTTTCTCTTCATCTGCTCTCAGAGGGCAGAACTGCTGTCATTTTCGGGGGGGGGAAGTTATGTTTGTGCCTGTTTTTGGTAGTAGACAAGGGAGTGGAGAACTTCACCCCATAGCTAGCCTGGTTCAGCCTCGGAGCCATGTGGCCAAAGCAGATTCCTAGTCAGAGGGCCTGAGGCACCACTGAGTCATCTAGGCTGACCTCTGATGTCACACAGGCTGTTACATTTCACTGGGTTAATTCTGCATTGAGCCCAGTGCTTTGTTAGGCTAAAGCTTATTTTCCAGAAGGGCAGCCAGGTAAGATTTGAAGACATCAAGAGATGGAGAAACTGCCACTTCTGCTTGGTTGGTTGTTCTAGTGGATAATTTGCTGTGTTTGTTGTGCCTGATCTATAATGTGTGTTTTTTCTGGTTTCAGCTGTATCTCTGCTAATGAAGAACTCTTCAGTACCTGATTTATTTTCTTCAGTGAAGCAACTTGGAGTATAAACACGTTTCCTGACAGTCTTTTTATAAATGAGATGTTGAGCTCTCCGTCTCATTTTCTGCTAGGCAATGTTTTCTAAGCATCAAATCATTTTTGTGTCTTTTGCACATTCTCCAGTTAAACCTCCTTTTTAAAAGGTGGAAGTCACAACTCTGAGCAGCACTCCAGCATGGGTCTCACTGAAACCCTGCTCCCCTTCCTCCTTGCTGCTCCCTCGTTCGTACTTCGAAGAATCATTTTGGCCCCTTTGCCACAGTGCTGCAATTGGGATTCCTGTTGTTGTTCACTGTGATGTTTAAATCCTCTTAGGGGCTGTTCTTTTAGGGTCAGTCCTCAGGAGGCATGACCTGCTTGCTTTGTGCCAAGAAGTGATCTTATATGTGGCTGAATTCAGACATTCTCTTTGGATGGACACAGCTCACAAGTGATCCAGATTCTTTTGGCAACTGCTGCCTCATTTACCACCTTTGTTTTCATCTGTGGACTTTACCAGCAATGATCAAATAGAATTGGCCCATGATTTCTGCAGAACCTCACTAAATAGTTCCATTAACAGCTTGTTTTTTAAATCTTATCCATTTCTTAATCCATTTGAGTAAATTATTGATGCTGTTTACAGCAAATTTTTAATCAGAACATTGGTATTGTAGGGCCCGTCTGCATGGGGAAACTCACTGGCACAGCTGCAGCAAATTAATGATACTGCTAAAGTTATGTTAGTACAGCATTTTAGGTGGACATCACTTGGGAGTAATTACTCTGCTTGTCGAGGAGCCAAATGAAAATGTCAAAAATTAGCCCATATGCTGTGCACTCTAGTGTGACTGCGGTGATTCACTCCTCAGGCCCCGCAGGTTGTTGAGTTTCCCACAACACATGCTCCTTAATGAGGGGAGCAGCAGGAACCTGTCATGTCTAATGGTGTTATCATGGGCCTTTGTCATGCAGGCATATAAATTTTAAATGTGTTAAAGAACAGACTTTGCATAATGCTTTGCTGCTCTTAAATGCAAAGGTCAGGAAATCTTGAAGGAAGGTCTCAGGAACATACTGCTTCTGTTGCCACCTCTGGTTTTAATTTGGATAAAGTAAAATCCATTGCATTCTGGAGCTGGATCCATGTGGACTTTGGGTTTTGCATTGGGCCAGATGAAGTCAACGGAAGCTATAATTGCTCAGTACCTCCAAAAAAAAATTGGATCCCACCTGACCAATTTCAGTTGCTAAAGCTGTTACTGCTATCTGCCTAGCAATAGCTTTCCTTTGGTATGTGATCTGCTCATGGGAGTTCAGTGAGGGAAGTTCCTTTTTAATAGAACCCCAGTTACATATTAGTTGTATTATAAGGCCTCTAGATTGATGAGCCTGAGGCTCAATCTTATCTGTTGCCTTGGGATGAATCTGAAGCAGTTCCATAGACTTCCCAGAAGTGATCCTGGATCTGCACCTGACAGGACAGCAAGGTCTGACTGAGGAAGTTGGAACAAGTGGCCTCTTCCCCGCGCACCCCCCCCCCCAAAACAAACAAACAAAAAAAAAAAACCTCCATTTTTGTACTGCAAAGTGCAGGCAGGCAGAACTCTTCTCTGCTGCAGATGAATGGTGCTGGTTGCTTTTCCTCTGATGGAACTCCCACAGATAGCATCACAAAAGCTTATGTATCTCTGATTCAGTTAGTCTTTAAGGTGCATCTGTCCCCTACTTTCTCCCCCAAGGCTGACAGACATTGCATCAGCATGTCTATCCAATCACTTCTTTCACTTAAAACAGCTTCTTCAGCATTTGGTGTTCATAGATTCTGGAGTCAGAAGGGACCTCAACAGATCATCAAGTCTGACCTCCTGCCTAGGCAGGAAAGAGTGCTGGGGTCAGATGACCCCAGCCAGATGCCTGTTCAGAGCCTTCAGAATGCCAAGTGCACCCTGGCAGCTGCGGTCCTCTTGGTGAGCTTTCTTTTACCAGTCATGTGTTAGTCACAGGGCACATCTACACATGCATTAATGCGCCACATTAAGTTTAGTACCTGTAATTACTAAATGTACCATGATGTGTGCTACTGCACAGTAATGTCTTTTATGTGATGCTAATGCGCAGTAGACTAATTTACTGTACATTAGCATGGCTTTAGCCATGATGTGCTAATGCGCAGTAGAGTTAGTCTACTGTGCTTTTAGCATCTCCTGTAGACATGCCCACAGTGAGTAAATCCATCATTGGAGTTCTTTGTGATTTCTTAATTGGTCTAATAAAAGGTATCATCTCTGAACCAAGAGTTCTAGAGTTTTGCATTTCTTTTTGTCTCAGACCAACATGGCTACCAAATACAGCCCTACTTTTTTGGCTGCAGTTAAACTTCATCCTGTCAAGTCCTCCCTAAGCTGAGTGGTGAATTCCCCTCAAAGTGAAGCACAGGGTTGAATTGCTCAGAAAAGAGTTTCTCTGCTGCAGCTGGAGCCTTGACTGCACCAGTGAAAAGCACATTATGGAATCTGGGCTCGGGAGTGTCTCTTCCCCTTTTAGGCTTCCACAGCGTGACCATGAGCAATGGAGTCTGTGTAGCTTTGGACTCGTTTGTCAGCTCCTGACAATGTCTCTATCTATGTTTGCAGATGGGACACACGTGGATGTGGCTGGATTCTGAGAGAGAGTCTCGTAGTGAGTCTGAGAAGAGCAGCTGCTGCCAGTCTATTCACAGCTCCTGGGATTCCAGCTTGGATCTGGAGGTGAGGAGATGGAGGAAGACAGGAGATGGCTGTTGGGAGAAGCTTGAGGGAAGCAGCCAGGAGGCGGCTTGCAGGGTGGAGTCCTGTGAACCTCTGATATGGGAATTACTGCTGAAGGTGGCAGGGCGGTGTGAACAGGACAGACTTCTGCAGTCCCTCTCTGAGGCAGAGCTGCTGGGGTGAGTGGGAGAGTCTGCGTGACACAGACCTCTAAAATGTCAGTGCTCTGAGCATCTCTGTCATCCTGCCACAAAGCATTTGGGGTGGAGCAACAGACACCCCTGGGGGCTGTTAGATGAACAGTTTTATTCTGGGGGGAAGCCCAGACATTTTCCTTGCTTAAAGGCTCTGTGGGGAGTAATAGCTTGTTCCTTGAGATTCCCGACTGGACCATGCTGCGGAACTGCCCTTTAGGAAAGCTGTTGTAACAAGCTGTTGCAAATCTTCCTGTGGTGTAACAGCAATCGTTACTGTAATGCAGTAGCCCCCCAGGGCTTGTGCTCTCAACCAGTTGTCCCAGTCTCTTGTCCTGTCACAGTTTGACATTAGTAATGAAATGCTCTGTTACAGGTGACCAACTTGATGGAACCTCTTTGCATAAGTGGCTCAGACTTAGCACAGATGGACAGGGCTTTTTGTACTGCTAGGGAGAAGGAAGAAATGGAAGCCCTCAACTGCCAGGAAGAGATGGAGAGGCTCCCAGTCCCAAGAAGAGAGGCAGAGGAGGAAGGGCAGCCACGAATTCTGGCAGGGGAAGCTGAGAAACTGCCTGTCCCGAGAAGAGGTGTGTGCATGCCACAGATGACAGGGGATTTACAGCACGTGGGCTGGGAGGCCAAAGATGCAAAGGAAACACAAGATGTAGGAGAGGATACAGGAGAGTCCCAGGTCCCAGGAGGAGAGGAAGGGGATTCGGGAGAGGAGAGGGAGTGCCTGGCTGTGGTGGAGAATGCAGAAGGAATACAGGAGGGAGAGAAGAACCAGATGCTGCTCACGAATCCGACTTCCCTGGGGATGCCTACCTTAGAGGAGGAACTTTCAGGCAGTATGAAGGTAAATGCACACGGGCAGCTGGATTTCTGGCCTTGCTGAGAAGTGGTGGACGGGGACCCTGGAGGTCTGGGTTCTCATTTTAGAGCGCTTGTGTGATCTTGAGCAATCATAATTTCTTTTGGTCTCAATCTATCCACTCATCCCCTGGGATAATGGCCCTTCACTTCTATCTTACATATTTAAAGTGTAATAACTGGGGGCAAGCTCTTCACTGTCTGCAGTGCCTGGTCCAAGGAAGCCGTGATCTCAGTGGTGCCCCTCTAGGTGTTACCATACCCTGAGTAACAGCAATGATAGATACAGCAGGACAGTCCCTTGCTCCCTGGGGCCAGGCTCTTTGCTTTACCATGTCACCAGAATTGGACATTCGGGGCAGAAAATTCCTGTGGGGCTCCCCTGCTTCTACAGAGCCAAGGCAGCCTTGTCTTGGACCATGGATCATTAGAACCTACCCAGTTTTCAAAGTCCTGCAGAACAAATTTCCTCCACTTTCTGGGGCTTTCTTTACCCACTTGCCTTTGGCAGTTCCCTGTGCTGGACACTGGGAAGCTCTCTTCTTTCAGTGCTGCTTGCCATCCAGGCAGAAGGGTTGTCCTACACAGCCATGGTCCCTGTGCTCCATGGAGAAGTGGCTGTTGCAGCAGCACTGCTCAGCACCCCCTGGCAGGCTCCATTCACTGTTGCTCTATCACAAGGAGCTTGGGAGGGAACAATCACATTCCGTCCTCTGTCTCTGCATTCTCTCAGCTTTCTCTGTTACACTGCTATCTCCTCCCCATCTTACCTGCTGCGTGTCCACAGCCTCCCTCTTAGTGCCAGTGCTGGGCTATCAATCCCCACTGGAAACTGAAGGTGACTGTCAGATCCAGAGTAAGACTTGTGACGCATGGCACAACTTACAGCACCTCAGCCAGGACTGTGGGGGCTCCTTGTGTACCCACTTGCTACACCCACTTCCTGGAGATCGGGGACCAGGATTTGAAGCTTTGGTTTTGCAAGTGCAACCTCTGGATGGGGCTTTTCCAGCAACCTTGTCACTGAGACTCTCGCCTTGAGCAGTCAATCCTCTCTGTCTGTCCTCCAGGGCAAGGCTGAGGAGGCGCCAGGACAAGCCCAGCGGGAGAGGCAGGGGAACACCGTATTCCCTGCACAAGGAGACAGTGGCTGCAGAACCTCTGTGGGTTCCCCGGCAGATGTTATACACATGAACCCAGCACCTTCGCAGCTGTGAGTAGTGCAGCCCTGTGGCGCCTTCAGTGGAACTGTCTGTGTGAGGCCAAGCCAGGGATTGGGGCAGGTCACTTCAGGGAGGGTGGCAAGCCAGCAGAAAGTGGAGGAAGAGATGGCCCCGGTGGCTGCTGGTGATGGGCTTCTGACCCTTGGGTGTTGGTTCTACTGCAGGTGCAGCAAAAGGGGAGCGGGGACAAAGTGACCATGGCCCAGCCTGAGCTGGGCACCTGCTCTGCCAGGCAGTCCTGCAGACAGCCTGCCAGCACTGTCCTCAAGGGAAGCATATGGTACACTGAGCAGTGGGGCTGGCCTCCCCACTGGGACCCAAATGCTCTTCAAGAAACAGGCCATTCATTTGCAGATTCTCCCTTGGGTGGTGTGTGGGCAAGGAGGGTCAGGAGATGAACCAAGAAAGGTGCATAAGAAATGAGGACACCCTTCACTCCCAACAGAGAGAGAAGACACCCTGTTCAAAAGTCTGCTGCCAGAGTGCAGCGACTGTTCTCCAGGTTCTGATGCCTTCTTGCTCAGCAGCCAGAGAGGTGGTGCCAAGACAGGGTAGACTTGGGTCATGGGCACAGGTAAATCCTAAGGGAGGGTCTCCAAAGAGACTTCAGGCAAGAGTGCACTGGGAAATGCTGCCCCATGGGGCACCTGCCCTGTACATCCCTGGCCACCCACGCTGGGAGGTTAGCAGTGTAGGCCCCTCCCTGAACTTCAAGGCAGGCTGAATGGGTGATGTCTTGTGCAGGGTACAACTGACTTGGGATGACCCTCTGCAGCGCATGCATTTCAAAAAGACTCTGCTGTCCATCTGGAAGATGATAGCCAGTCACAGGTGTGTATGGAGGGTGGGGTGGGTCCACACTCTCCCTGGCTCCCCAGTGCCATCAGCCCCTCCCCCATTGCTTGAAGGCACCAGCAGTCCAGCCATTTCTCCTGCATTCCTCTTTCATGTTGCCTACCTTGCAGCAGAAAGGGGTCCTTGCTCTGGGGCTCTGGCCTTGCATCTCCATTCTTACTACTTTGGCAGCCACTGGTCTGTGCAGGATGCAGAGGGCCAAGTCTGGCTTCAGCCAGCCCCAGCAGGGTCTCAGAGCTTTTCCTCTGCTGGTGCTGGCTTTACCAGCCACTGTAACCAGGGGCCGCTAGCAGGGAGATGAGCCCTATCAAGCAATGGTGTTGCTGCCCACAGCCCACTCCCTCTTTGGGAGTCAGCTGCCAGCCAGGGCAGACCTGGATCTCGCCTCATTCTCTTTGGGCTTGTCCCCTAGATACAGCGGCCCGTTCCTGAAGCCAGTGTCAGACAAGCAAGCCCCTGGGTACAAGGATGTGGTGAAAAGGTCAGTTGGGAGAAGGCAGGAAAGCTGCTTGAGACCCTTTCCACCTGCTTTCTCTGGCCTTATTGGATCCAGCTGCCAGAGAGGGAAAGTCCAAGGCAGCTGGGTTAGGAAACCTGCCCCAGGCTTGTCACGGGGTACCTGCCCCCTTTCAGACTGGGGCAGGAAGGCCCTCCGTGGCTTACATTCCTGGGGTTAGCCCTGTGTTACAGGGCTTCCACCCTGCCCGGCCCCACTCCCCTGAAGGGATTTTTGTCCCAAAGACCCAGTTTCCTTATTTATAACATGCTCCTAGCAGCCACATGGACTCCTGACTCCCTCCTTCGGATTTGCACCCTTAGGTGTTTGGTGGCTGTTGTGCTTCTGACTTGCCTTCCACCTGGCAAGCCCCTCAGGAATCAGCCGCTTCCCCTGGGGGACAGGGCTGTTTGGTCTGCAGCAGGAACCTGAGCAGCCAGCACAACCAGCTTCTGGGCTTGGTGCTGCCCCAGCAGCTCACTGAGCTACAGCTTTCCTCACTGACCAGTCTCCCCTGCCCCCAGATCGTGCGTTGCTTCTGGCATCTGGCAGTGTATTATTGCCCGAGAGCTCCATGTCATCTATGCACTGTAGATTCTAGTTCCTTTCATTTTTCCCCTCACTGTGGGCTGATTTTAACTGGTTGTTCAGATTGCTGCTTTCTGTCTGACACTCAGTACTGCTCAGTTTTTAGAAGCAGTTGCCAGTGGCACAGTGCTTGGGTGACGAGGCTAAACTGTTTTTTCAGATTTTTTTGGATCTCATTCCCTACTTGAGAGCTGGGTTAAGAACGGCCGTGCATGTCGGATCACGGGGAGACAGGAACGAGGCGGTGGTGTTGAGGCTGGGGGGGTCCCTGTGTTCTGATACTTGATAGGGTCTCACTCCTTCCCACCTCCTGCAGACCCATGGATTTAACCACCGTAAAGAGAAGTCTGTCCAAGGGCCACATCCGGAGCACCGCTCAGTTCCAGCGCGACCTCATGCTGATGTTCCACAACGCAGTCATGTACAACAGCGCTGACCACCACGTGCACCACATGGCCGTGGAGATGCAGCAAGAGGTCTTGGAGCAGCTGCAGATGCTGGGCGAGGCGCTCCTGTGCTCCGAGGACAGGCTGCGTTTTGAGAGGTAAGAAGCCGCACGCAGTCGGGTGCCCTGCCCCCGCCCCCGCCCCCGCCCCCCGGGTACTGTCAGAAACAAGCCACCGTCTGCTTGGGCTGGGCGCTGTCGTGGGGCGCGCTGTGCCCGACCCCGGGGCTGGGGGCTCTCCTGGGGGTACCGGCGCTGCCCTTCCTCCTGGGCCAGACCTCCGAGGCTGCA